AAATTTTAGATCATTTGCAGACATTCAAGTTTCATTGAAATTAAAGGGTCTTGACCTAAAACCATCTTTATTGAGTTTCAGGGAGTTTTACAAAGATGTCAAATCATTTTAAAACTGGCTGCAGAAGATGAGCTATGTAAGGCAATGTAATGCATGTAATGTAAGGCAATGTAAGGCATGTAATGTAAGGCAATGTAAGGCATGTAAGGCAATGCGCTGTCACTTTTTTTTTTTTTACATTTTTACCACCTAAAGTTTAAGGACATCTTTGGAATCATTTTATTCACAATGTTTGTAAAAGCATTTTGGAAACCATAACATATTATAAAAATGCTAGTGGTTACTGTTAAGCTCTGAGATTAACAAAGTACAGTGTTTCTGTGATTAGGTGGTCTACTGTATTTTTTGTTATATGAGATTATGCAAAATAAAATGTAGTAGTATAAACAAAAAACAAATCTACATGGTATCACAACAAATCTACATGGTATTTATTCCAATTTTACATACTAGGAACCCAAGGTTCCCAGAAGGCAGGCTTTTACTTTCCCAAACTCTCAAGCTTAGTAAGGGCACAGCAGAGGAATAGTCAAACCCAGGGCTTCCAAGCACCAAACCCTGTTCTTTTAACTCTAAACATGTTGCTTAATGGTGACTAGGGATGAATTAAAGAAAAGCAGCAAATGACCATTAAGTTCTGGTTTCTGATATTGGCATCAAAATCCTACAACAATGAAAACATTACAACTACTAGAATACATTTTAGCAAATTTCCCAACTGTAATTTGGGAAATTTAAAAAAATTCAACTACAAAATATAAATGCATCAACTATCCAAATTCACAAATAATTTTTTCATTATTTACATATTACTACAGCTACTCTCACACTTTCTAAGATTTTCTTTAATGTCTTACACATGTAAGAGAGTTCATTTTATGTAACATCAGGAGAGGCAAAACCTGTACTTTGAGTGTCCTTTCATTTTTTTACAGGGATGTTTCAATATAATTTCCTCTCCCAAAATAAATAATTTTTGCTTTATGGCTACTTGAATTCAGGCTTCCCTTCCATTCTCTTTCCTAACTGTTCTCTCAATGTACTAAATAATCACTGTGTCTGGAGCTCCCGCCCCTTATTTTCGAACCTTCCAGTAGTTCTGTTCCTCTTTCTCCAAGCCACCTGCAATGCTGATACACCAGTGGTGCCCTAACAAGGAACACAGGGAAGCCTTGCTCTTGGGGTGTCTCTTAGAGTACCCTCCTCACAGGCAGTTATTACCAAACCTGAGCCTGATGTCAAAGCACTATGGTTCCAAGCAACTCTCATTTTTACGAATAAAATAGAAATGAATGAGTTACTAAATTCATCATGATGTGAAACTCCCAGCTGTTTCTCCATATGTGTTCCCAAGCACTAAATCACTTGAAAATAAGTAACATAATAAGTGATATATACTGAAGATATATATCTTCAGTCAGGTCTTTAGGGTTGTTTTTATTATTATGTCTGTGTTCCAGAGATTCAGAGTGAACAATCCAAAAGGCATGATAAATAAAACTTCCCCTGGATATGTCCAGGATAGTTGGAGAGCTTATATTTTCCCTCAATACAGTTCTCTTAAAATAAAGGCTATAAATAAAGAACAAAGATTGGGAGTGTTTTGTCTGTATTTGCATTGCCAGTACTTGGTGCAATATCTGCCACATAGAAGACCCTAAAATACTTTGTAATGATTGGGTGGTATAAATAGTTCTTTGACGCCCTTACTTAAGAAAGTAGTCTACTTTCCTCAAAGTTTTAAAACTCCTAATATGTGCTTCCTTTTCTTTAAATGCTATTTTGACAGTTTAGTCAAAGTTTGGCAATGTTATACATGTCTTTTTAAGGTCCCAGAATTGGAGGGAGCCTCATTATAAAGCCTTGCAGACAAGACGGGCCCTGAGGAGTTAAAACTAAAGGGCCTGGAGATGTAAGAGTGTTTAGATGTCCAAGGTACAATGAATGGGAACTAGGTGTCATATATTCTAGAATTGTTTCAATTTCATTCATTCAATTGACTTATTATTAAAATGATGTAAAGTTTTATAATCTTTACAGTCAACATCAATGCACTGAAAATGACTTAAAATATCAGAAGCCTCAGTTTGGCTAGATCATTGATCAGATCACTAACTTACTTAGCAATATCCAGTTTTTATTAAGTTCATTTCTATTTTCCTACTTGCAAATTGTTGTGAATAAAGAACCAATCTCCAGTGATTGAGACAATATTCCATGATGAAAACTAAGAAAACAGGAGCTTCCACATCTAGTTTCTCCTGAAGTATAACTGTGGGACAATGCAAGAAAGCTCACAACACTCAAAACCATCAGAAATTCTCAGGAAAGAAAGTTCTCTGATAACAGCTATTTTCAGAAATTTAAATAAAAGTACCTTCATTCTAAAGAAAAAGAGTAGACAGGACACAACCATCTCCCTAAGTATTTTCAGAGAAATTTAAGATCTTTTTTTTCAAATATTTATTTATGTATGCATACAAGAGCTGGGGTGCGGGTTGGATATGGTGGGGGGAGGTGAGAGGATTCACCAGAGAGAGGGGTGAGCAGAACAGGCAGATGTACTGAAATATACGGCTGAGGGGAGCAGCGGGCACACAGGAGAGATCTGCTGCACCACGTAGATCACCTCCCTGGCTGGGGATTGAACTCGTGCTGCAGTGGCTGTGGATATCTTCATAGTGCTGTGTCTTAACCCCCTGTGCCACCAGGGAGGCCCCAAGTTTAGGATCTTGACTATGCAAGAGAATGAATCTACTGAAACTTTTGAAGCAGTGCACTAGCTCACCAAACAAAAGAAAATGTGAGTGGAGACCACAGAACTAAGTCACTTCTTTGAAATATAACCTGTTCGCTTGGTATTACTAAGTCTATTGATGAGCGGTCATTGAGAATTGGCTTCTACCTGCCTTATGATGTTAAAAATGTCTATTATATTCACTACATGTGATGTAATTTTTTCAAAAGACAGGAATTACTCATGTAAAGCATATATCACTGTTGTGTAGATTTGACCATGGGAAATATTCTCAAATTTCTTATCCTGAAAACCATTATCTGGACACATGCTTCTTATCCAGTAAAAAGCCAGAGTTATTCAAATTTGATTTATAAAAGTGAAAATTACCTTTCTCTTATTTTGGCAATACATATTTAAGTTTGGTCTTATGTATTCCTCACATAAGGTGTTGAGAATTTTCTTAGGTTAAATTGGTGTCACCAGAGATGCAACCATTACTTTTTAGAATTTTGTAAATTCTGATTGTTAGGCAAAAGAAAACTAAAAATAATTCTTCTCCCAAATTAATCAAAGTTATATCAGATATTAATGTGTCACACAAATGTTTTAGGCACTAAAACAAAATTGCAGATGCATATAACTACTGGACTCCTCTCACAAAGACTTATATTTAAAAAAATTGCAACATCAAATAGTTCCTAAAGTTATGTTTCCTGGGAAATATTTACAGTAAAATACAGAAAAAAAAAAAAACAGCCCATTTTGAGATTTAGTTCCTAGTTTATCAATGGAAGAAAGTGGCAGGAAGGGAAAATACACAAGAAAAGGAAGAAGACCAAAGAATCATTTTAGTGCTAACAGCAAAGGTTATTCTCCATAATTGTAAGAACCACAGGAATAATTTATAGGACTGCCTGTCACCAGTCCCGAGCCCTTCAGGACCCACACCCTCTCAGGTCTCTCACACCATCAATTGCAAGAGTACTTTCAAAAGTGAAACTCAGGACTGTGCAAACAAGACCCATGTCCAGACTTATTTTGGAAACTTTAAAGAAGTTCTCAGGGTAGGTGGCTAAAATGCTGTTAGAAGCCAAAGTCCTTGAACCCAAGGTCAGCATGAGGATAAAAAGTGATAGTGGTTTGACACTGAATCTCCTTCAGATTCTATCCGCTGATATAGATTCCTTCAAAACAGCTCCTCCAAAAAGAGAAAGACTGGGAAGAGGTCTGGCATTCCTGCAGATGGTAAAAGTCAAGGGTAGCTGGAATACACATGCAGGAATCAGACAGAGGGGCTCTGAAAGGATGCCTAGAAGCTGGGGGGATTTCTGATACCCCTGAAATGGCTGATACAGATATTCCCTAATGATCACAAGTTTAGAGAAGGCTAGGAAGGCATTCATTCATGCAACAGATATTTATGAAGGGCCTAACAGAAGGCAAGGACAAAAAAAAAAAAAAAAAAAAAAAAAAAAAAGGAGCGAGAAAGCACTTAAGAAGCCAGGAAAAGAGAGTGAAAGATGACCAACCGGAGCAAGGATCAGAGGTTTAGAAAATCAAACACCGAATTTGAATTTACCCAGAGAAGAGTGTCAACCAAAAAAAAAAGGGGGGGTCCAGTGAAAACAAGAGATAAGAAGGCAACTCAAAAAAAGCATCTGACAGTCAATTTCTCAAGATGCAAGAGAGAATGCACATAGCTGTGGAATTCAATGATGTCAGAGAAGGTCACGCTGAAGAGCAAAAGTGCATGGGGGGTGAAGGTGGGTGGGAAATGAGGGTTTCCTGAAAGTGGTAGGAGCCCTTTGGGGATGCTGGAGACTTGGCAACGGTAAATGTGGAGCCTGGGAAAGTTTGGGGTAAAGAAAACAGGTGGGTGTGTAGGAGCAGGAGGCTGTCAGGGGGAGCTCTACCAAGTGGGGCCAAGGCTGGAAGGGGGCGCACAAGCCCCCAATTCTGAGGCCCAGGAGGCTGAAGTCTGACCCCCTTGGCGGGCTCCAAAGCGCCCTTCTGCCAGAGCCCCGAGGTCGAGGTCGCTCTGCAGCAGACCCCCACCCCCACCCCTCGGCCGGGCGGGCAGGGCCGGGCCGCCCCCCAGCGGTCGGGCTAGGCACACACACGCGGGGGTGAGCCTGGCGCCAACTTTCCCGACCCTGTCCTTTCTCCCGAGACACCGGCCCTCCGCCCGCCCGCTGCTCACCGAGGGCGCCGTCAGGCGGCTGATGCTCTCACCCAGAGAGTCCAGATTGACCCGCCTCCGGCGCTGCACCCTCCTGGCCCCGGCCGTGGCCGCGGCAGCCGCAGCGGAGGCAGCCGGGGCCGGGGCGGTGGCGGCTGCCGGCGCGCGGGGCTCGGGCGGCCCGGGCGGGCTCCGGCTGCCGTTCCAGCAGAGCCTAGACAGGGGGCACTCCCCGTCGTCCTCGGGGCTGGTCTCCAGGTAGTCGGAGCCGAGGGAGCTAAAGGACTCGGAGGAAATCTTCCTTCGAGACATGCTGCTGGCGGCGTGGCGGCGGCGAAGCGGCGGCGGGGACGAGACCGACCGGCGGCGGCGGCAGCACCGGGAGCGGCCGCCTTAGGCTCGCTGGGGCCACTGCGCGCGGCGGCTGCGTTCGGCCGGGATGGAGCCCCTGCAGCTGCGGAGACCCCGGCGCCGGCTGCTCATGGTGGGAACTTGGGGCCCGGGCTTGGCGGCGGCACAGGGCGGGGGGCCACCGCCTTCTCCGCTGCTCCTTGCACCGCTTCAGCACCCGCCTCGGCGCATCGGTGCCCGGGCTCCTGCTCGCGCGCACGGGGAGGCTCCGAGTGTGTGACCGCGGCCGGCGGGGCGGGGAGGGCCGAGGCCCGTGCGCTCTGGGAGGCTGAGGCTTCTGCCGCCTGCGCGCCTAACTCGCCCCTCTTCCCTCTCCCCCCGCCCTCTCCTCCCGCCTCTCCCCCATTGCTGCCTGCCCCCCTCCTTCTGCCTGTATCCGCCTCCCCCCCCCCATGCTCTCCCTCCGCCGGTATCACGTGTCGCCATCATACTCATTGGGAGTCTCTGCCTTGCCTGTCGCCACGTTTCAGGAGCAATGAGGACACTTCCTAGCCGTCCTCTGCTCGCCCTCCCCTTCCCACCACCCCCTCCTCCAAGGAGGAGGAGCGCCCCAAAGCTCAGATCGCATCAAAGGGCTCCAACCCCAAATGCCCTTCCCTTCCTCCCCGGGAGTGGCAGCTGGGGGAGCCGAAGAGCCAGGCAGGCACACAGGAAGGAAGAGGGCGCAGGACTGGAAGCTGGAGACCTCCTTGGAGGGCCACTTCAGGAAGCCTGAAAGCTCAAAGTGGGCAGTTAGGGTCCCTATTTGTCCTTCCCCTGCCTTGCTCCGATTTTTTAAGGAAGTTCTGAGCAAGGGGGAAAGCCAAGTGGTCCAGCCCACTGGTTCCAGGGGAGATGCTTACAAGGGAAGAGAAGGGGCAATATGTTGGCACCAGTCCTGCAGGAGCAGGTCAGGGGGACAAGTGTTCTCCACTAGGGGAAAGGCTGTGTGGGCTCAGAGAGATCCCAGAGCCTTGAATGAGGACAGCGCCGGCTAGGGCCAGAGTCCTGTTGCTCAGCATCAGTCCGGTGGGGCACTCCAGGCTCAGGGTTCCCGTTACCGCCAGCTCTGCACTAGTGCTGGACAGCTCCACTTGCCACTAGCAGCGGTGATAGCCAGATCTCAGGCTGGAAGACAGTTCCTAGGCAGACAACATTTGCAAAGACCCAGGCGCAAGCCCACGTACCTCACTCTCTCAGCTCTTTGCACCAAAGAGCGGTCTGTTTGCACTTCGCTTCAAATGCTGCTTGCAAAGCTAAGGGGAAACAGGGAGGGAAGCGTTTCCAAGCCCAGAACAGACTCAGCGCAAGCACATCCCTTGTGGAGAGTTCACAGTGACGCTTGCCTCATGGCTTATTAGCAGCAGCAACCCTCAATGCCTGCACTCACTGCACTATTATAGAAAAGGTTCCCACTCGTGCTGACATTAAGAGAAGGGATAGGAAGAAGGGGCAAACAAGAGTGTCCTGGAAGAGGGGTTCCAGGCTGCCTGATTCTTCCCCCTGAAGCAAGGGAGATGAGCAACCTCGACTTCTTCCCCCTCCTGGGAAAGAAAAGTTCAGGGGCTGGGGCTTTAGTTCCCTAACACCACAGAACAAAAATTTTTTAAAAACATTTGAAGACTGGTCCTTCCAAAGTGAAGGCAGATAGGTTTATGGGCTGTGTTTATATAAAAATAAACCAGAAATGCTATCACTTATGATGGGGGGAATGCAAACCAAAACCACAATTACATATCAGCTTACATGAATGAGAATTTCCTATAGCAAGAAGACTAGAAAGTAATGGTGGGAAGAGTGGCGGGAAAAATATGAGCCCTAGTGAACATTAGTGGACTGAAAACTGGTTCAGCCTCTATGGAAAACATTATAGCAGCCCCTCAAAACACGATGCAGCAATTTCAATCCTATACAACCAAGTAAAAGATATGAAAACAGTAATTCAAAAAGTCATGTGTACCCCTATGTCCATTACAACACTACTTACAACAGGCAAGCTGTGCATACAACCTAACAGCCCCACAATGGATAATTAGACACATGAGATATAGCACATATACACGCAATGGAATACTATGCAGCAATTTTTTAAAAATGAAATCATGCCATTTGCAACAACACAAATGGAACTGGAGGGGATTATGCCAGTGAAGTCAGTCAGAGGATAGAAACAAATACCAGATGATTTCACTTATTTGTGGAATATAAAGAAACAAAGCAAAGGAACAGAAAACCAAGTTCAAACCCACCCTTGGACTCTGACTGAAGAACTGAAGGGGTTAGGGGGAGGCTGGGAGTAAGGGAGGGAAGGACCCCAATGTACGAGATGGAGGATTATGGGTACTTTGGTGGTGGGTATAGTGTAACATATATTTGAAGAGGCATGAACCTGTCATCCTAAAACATATACTGTTTCATAAACAAACATCACCCAGCTTAAAAAGGGGTGGGGGGGAGAAATTCTAAAATTAGTTAAAAATAAAAACAAACCTGTTCTATATCCCTACACAAAAATCCTTTTTACTCTAAATACTCCCAATTTTTTATGAGCACCCAAATAAATATAAATGCTGTTTGCATCTTCCTTTTATATTTTGGAAAAAATCCATTCAAATTGATTCAGAGAAATGCACATCGCCATATCTCAAATAGGTATGAAAGAAATGAAAAGTGTGTACTATCACTTGCATATTTCCATTCATAACTATATTACCTTTCTCAGCCTGCTAAGTTGCTACTTGCATAGTTTCTTCTCTTAGCAGGAAATTTAGGCCGCTCTCAAAATGATTGTGCAATGGAACTACTATTGATGTCCCCTATTAATTCACCTAATTCTATATGTGTTTGTTTACACTAGAAATTAGACACAAATTATACTTTTTATCAAAAAGGTTAGTCATTAATTCTTCAAAGAAATTTCACTGGCCTTTTTCCCAAAAATAAAATGGATGATGCTTTTGAAAATTACACTATTCCAACTTTGGGGACACTTTAATATTCTTGCTGTGCAATATGGTCACAGCATAATAGGTGGGGGCTCCCTGTTCTCTATGTTAGTAATGATGATGTCATCATCCAGTTCTTCAGAGTCATAGAATTTTAGAGAGATTATGAAAGATATTAAATAGCAAATATCCTTCATATTCTTTTTTTTTTTACATTCTTTTGTTGTGCCCACCAAAGAAAGTTCTACTATTACCATGGTAAATAAACTTTGCATTGAATTTAAACCCATAACTCTTACTAATCACCTCAACTCTTGCCTCACAGTAAAAATGACTGAATGCAAACAAGTATCATTTGTTTCTAATACGTGCAAGAGGCCCAGAGTCTTCTTGTTTACACTCTAAGTTTATTGCCAGGAAGAACTCTGAACCTATGGGACATTTTTGCATGGTGTGAAACAGCTGAATCAAAGATTCTTTACAGAACCTAGCCTGATGAAGTGGTCTTACAATGTTCTGTATAAATTACCCTGCCTTGGATCATGATTCTCTCACTGATTTTTAAACTATAAACAAAGAAAGGCATAGATGTAGCCAGGACATCATCTGCAATTCTTTCAAGTTTGTATTTCTATTCAGGGGCAGAGTTCAAAAACTCTCCACATGAAGAGTGCTATGTTCTGTGTTTGAATTAATATTTTTAAAAAGAAGCTTAACCTATTCACCTTTTAAAAAAAAATGCCAAGAGCTAGCAAAAGGAATTGAAATATGTTAGGAAAGAGTAGTTCACTGAAAATGAATAGCTTCTGCTCTGATTTTAGGACACTTGTGCTCACAACCCCAGCCCTACTGGATGTACCAGGTCCTGTTGAGAAAGGAGAATGCAGGAATTTACTTGGTTTGTTTGTGAATTTGATGAGGACACCCAGGAACTCACTTTAGATTGACTAAACACTAGGAAGGAGTCCTGAAAAAGCAGGTTCTCCACCTTAATTGATCACTACTACCCCCTTAAGCATAAAACAGCTCCTGTTGTATAAGTCTCAGCTTCACATACAGCATTGCAAATTATAAATCCCCTTCACTTATATTGTTGCATTTACTTTCATTTGTATCCTTCCCAGAGAAGTGGTTAAAGAAAAATCACCTCTCTCAAATTTAAATAAAAACTGTCATCAGTCCTCAGTCTCCAGATTCTTTGCATTTCAGAGCTCCAAACTCTCTTAACTTCTTTTCATCCATCTAAGTCTACATTAAGAAACTCCACAATATCTGCATAAAATTTCCCTGGAGCAGAGCTCGTGCCTGATGTCAGAAAACTGGAGGAAACTGCTCCCTTAGTCAAACTTTATATACATCTGGTAACGCACAGGAATGGTATATGTAACTTCAATGCAAGTCCTATAAAGCAATATAGAAGATGGTGAATTCACTAGCACATGTTCTTCTGCTTCCCTAACCTGGAAAGTTACACAAACATGGGCAGAAACACAAATAAACACTTCATCTGCAGGTTTACCCTATGTACATGTTCCCTGAATGAGAGCTGTCTATACCCCACACTTTCTCTTACTCTCTCTTAGAAGAGGTAAATGCATTTCTTCCCTAAAAGATTGTAGACAAATAAAAGTGGAGATACTATGTTTCATGTTCTTGAAAAACTTTCTAACTAAATACTAAGACTAATAGCACAATGAGAAGACCCATCTGCTTTGACTATAAAGGGACACATGGAAGACTATACAACCATAGTGTCATAAAACCATTCTGAAGGGACAGGGCATTTGATGCTCAAATGAGAAGAGAGAGTAGGAGAAGAAATAGAGAAAAGCAATAAAGTCAATACAACACTTAAGAGAATCTATAAAATCAAAATCAACCAGCAACTATAAACCAGAGACACACTATGGTGGCGGGGGAGAGGGATGAGGATCAAAACGAAGGGGGTGGGAATTATATGGGGACTATAACCAAAATGAAAATGCATACATTGTGCAAAAATGAAAAATGATGTAAAAATATATAAAATTTTAAAAAAGATTTGATAAGATTGACTGGATATGCCACTAATAAGAGATTAGTTTTAGAGAAATATTTCTTTTTCTGACAGATATTATAAAAAGAGACTAAACTTTTCAGATGATACACAGAAAATATCATTTAACTTCTATGTGTATTTCATTTTACAATAAACTTCATAATAAAAGGAAAAAAAGGTGCTTATGAGTGCGACAGCTGCTGTGTTTTGATGCCACCATATCCAAGAAAGCAGGAAGGATGGAAAGGACTAAGCATCTTTTGATGCCTCTGGCAGACAGCACCCTCTTCC